GGAATATTTCAAACACCTTTAAATTGAAGAAATTTACTATGTATAAATTGGTGATATAACTAAAAAATGTCTAAGCATAGCACACAAAACAGTGATTTTTCATAGTTAACATAAATTTAATCTGAATACATCAATGAAAAAAAAAATCTTCCTTAACAATTACAGATTTGAACAGTGATTCATAAAATAAAGCTGTTGAAATAACAAATAATATAGAAAACCATCCATGCCTTTGATCAATACCTTCAATAATAAAGTCAACTAGAAATATATCCATAAATATTCGACTTCCATCAAATGGATCATAGACTTACACATAAAGCATCCTAAAATCAAGTACTTTAGGTATCCGACATAATAAGCCTTCACTTAATAGTGATGGAATTCTAATTTCATCAAAAACGAAACAAAGAAAAAAAAATAATTATTTTTGATGAATGAAAGATGATTGAATTTTACATTTCGCAATGAATATCGTTAATAGAAACTCTTTACAATTGTTTTAATTTTTCCATTGAATCAAAACAAACAATTTTATATCCATTACGATATTCGATTTTCTCAATAACAATTTCATAAAATAATACAATCAGATGCATCACGAAGCCAATTTTTGAAATGTTTTTCTTCAACAAAATCATGTACTTTACATAACAGATATTAAATTAATGAAATTTTGTTTTTCTTACCAATATTTTTTATTATTATTAGCTAATCATTGATGAGTAATTCCTTTGACATGAATAAACCAAGATAGCACCAAAACGATAAATGAACGGTGTGTCAGTATTCCAACAAAATAGATATGAATGTTTCATAGATGATTGATGAACAAGTCGTTTAGTTTCTTTTAAATGCTTTATAATGACTTTTTCACCATGTCTTACATCTTTTCCTTGAAAATCTTTAACTTGATCAATAAATCAAAATTCTGCATCAATAGAACCAACAACAAATACTGTGTCTTTATTAATAACACTATGTTTCAGACAAAAATGAATATTATTTTCTCCAAAATATGGAGCTTAATAAAAAACAACTGTACTACCATCTTGTGTAACATAATTATCGCATAATACACAACAAGCTGTTGTCACTTATTTTATACCAAACAAAAAATAAGAATTATTTGATTAGAAAAAAAGAAAAACAAATTTTTCATTAGCAAAATAAGGGCATAATGGTATATAGTGCATTCCATTCAAATGCAATACTTTGAAACTATAAAAAACAAATAGATATTGATAGATAAATATTGATTTTTTACTATTACGTTCTTTTTCATGAAGTTCAGGTAATCGGTTTTTTCAATTAAAGTATAAACTTCATACTTCGTTTTATCTAAGTATAAAAAAATAAATTATTTTTTATTTTATTTTCTCACATAAATTAACTCAGCATTTTGACATAAATTGCATTTGGATTAACACAAAATGCAAGATTAGATGATAATGTCCTTGCAATTATTGTCTGAGCAACAATCGTAATTGTTGGATCATCCATAAGTGGAAATGATACCTAAACAGTTAGTTAGATCATCTGTATTTTTAAAAAATTTCGACTAACTTCAAAATTTGATAATGGAGTACAATAATCCATTGAATAAGGCATTATTTTAAAAGAGAATATTTTTATCTTCAGAGTCTGAAGAATTTTTTTCATTCATGTTTTAGAACCAATAATCTCATCAAAAATCAATTCAACGGTACATATAATCAATCGCATCGTTTTTGTCAACTGTTTTTATGCTTCATGTTTTTTTTTAGAAAGATAAATAACAATACATAATTCCCAAACTTAAGCATATTGCATAACAAGATTTCATATGCCTGATTAAGAAAAAAAAATTTTCGAATAATGACGAGGAAAAGAAAAGAATAGATCATACTATTAAAAATCGACATTGAACACAATGTTCTGTTTAATAAGCCTATCGAGTAATTGTATCTTTGATTGTTCCAGCTAAAATACGTTCGTAATGTGAAAGACCAATAGCAAATGATATAGCCTCATAGAATGAATATCATTAACAATGGTTTCGTTTAGTTTAGAAAGTTTTTAAAAATTTTAATCTTCGTCTATTTTTTGATAATTTATTATCTGTTTCATATCTATAGATTTGCTTCCAATAAGCCAAAACATTTGATTTATTCATTCAAAATTGAAGTATTTCACTAGATATAGCAACATAGATTGTAGCAGACTGCGTTTCAATTGCATCTGTATTCATAGCTATCTATGAAATAACAAAAAAAAGAAATCTAATATATTATCGAGTTCTTAAAAACTCATTGCCTAAGTGGATTAGTAAATTGATAAAGCTGATGTAATTCATCAATCATTCTAATGCTTCTTTTATTCTCTATATGATACACTCTCCATGTAATAATTACCGAGAAACTACTACGGGCGGCATGACTGAATGGGGAATGGTTGGAGGAGGGTATTCCCTTCTACTTTTAAAAATGTTGACGATAGCCTTCTCTCATTTTAGAGGAAATTTCTATCGAGTTTTTTTCGAGATTGAGAAAATCGAATCTATATCTTGTATTGTTTAATAGAGATTTAGACTATACTATTCTTCCATTGTGAGTAGACTAGGAGAGCTCTAATTCTTCCAAAATGTGAAAATTCGTAGATTACTTCTTTCTTTAAGTACAGGAGATTTGCGCTAAACCGCCATTCAACATTGTAAAGATTTTATGTAATTAGACTATTTCATCACTGAAATAGTGCTTGACATCATCAAAAAGAAATTGATTAGTTTCTGCAGCAAGTCGAGATGTTTTAAAATATTTAAAACTTTTGTAACAATCTAATTCGGAATCATTCTAATATAATTCAGTGTTACTAGAAAAATAGGAACTTGAAAAATAAAATTTTAGAAGATAAATACGTATAATAGAAAATTCAAAACAAAATAAATCAAATATATATGTCTTCTTTAGATATAACAATTGATGATTGTTCATATTCGACTAGATTCAATGATGATTAAACAAAGTGATTTGGGAGAATCATATAGAAATGTGATACTTGCCGTGGTTTCAAAATATAATTCTATTATCATCTGATGATTGCAGAGAACTAATTGAAAGAGGATGTAATGATACATCATGACATGAATTGACACCAGAAAAAAAAGACGATAAGTTTTTTGCTTGTTAATTATAAAAGATTTGCTGGTATAGCTAGCAGAATTTATTTAATGGAATGACAAATTTAGAAAAATTAAGTTTAGAATTTGATGGAAATAGAACAACACACACATTTCTTTATTATTCTGTTTTTGTTTTCTTCGTTTTTATTATTTAATTTCGTTACTTATCATTTTTTCTTTTTCGGTTTCCAATAATCTTGTTATTTCTATAGAATTCGTCTATAATGTTTCGAATCTTCCTTTGATATACGATGAAGAGTTTGATTGCAAATGATTAGGGTGTGAGTATTATTGCTGACCTTCACCCACATTCTCAAGATCGTTTTGATTGAAACAAGGGATAGTTTTGCATTGAAAAATAGCGAAGGCAGATTCATAATACTGAAAGACACTAAATTTGGCGAACGTTCTAAAGATGACAATAATGTCTTGAGGGTGTTCATTCAATTTAGTGACTTTTTTCTATTTTAATTCTGTCTTTGTCATTTTTCAATACAAAATAAATTTTTTTTTAATCAAAATGATCAACGTCAAACACTCAGAAAAATAGGCTGTGTAGTAAATTTTGGGAGATTTTCCTATTTTTAGAGCTGAGCATACAGAGATGTTCCTAAAAGATGGTCTGGATTTCTCACAGCTTTAAGTTCAAATCTCAATCCTTCTTTTAAACAAAGGTGTTTTCCAGTCACTCTCTCTACTAAACTAACATGACAAAAGCTGAAAAGAAATTTTTATTCTGAATAGTGGTATTTTTCTCATGGTTTATACATATGAATTTCTTGTATATGGCTAATTTTCATGCATACTAATCAATTAGTGATCTATTCAAGACATTCTAGTGTTTTTTTTTGTCTAGTCATCAATTATAAAAATGTAGAGTGAAGAAGTTAGTTTGAATTGATGGTTTTCTTTTTACAAACACTATCATATAGAATATTCGATAAAATACTATGTTTTCTATTTCGTTGAAGATAAGAAATAACAATAACATGGGGTGTGGGTGTGAGTGTGGGTGGGTGGTGGGTGTGGGTGTGGGTGTGAGGTGTGGGTGTGGGTGGGTGGGGGTTTGGGGTGGGTGTTAGTAACTATTCATGAACACCTTCACCCATACCACACCCACACCCGCACCTCACCCACACCCACCCACACCCACGCCCACCCACACCCACACCCACACCGACACCCACACCCATCTGCATCTGGGCGTATGGGTGTGGAAGTTTTTTGGTTTCATATACACAGACGCACACCCACACCCACATCCATCCGCATCTGGGCGTGTGGGTGTGGAAGTTTTTTGGTTTCATATACACAGACGCACACCCACATCCCTTGATAGTCTTCTTTTTACTCAATAAGCTCTATCTGACAACAAGGAGAGCTTCATACTGTATAAATTCGAGTGCCCGATTCTTACAAATCTTTTTTTTCGATTCACCCAAAACTCGAGAGGATGCAGAGAACGCAAAGAAAGATATCTTGCTATTGATAACGACTCTGCTACTACTACACTCTATAAGGCTTCTATGCAATTGATTTCTACAGTAATTATTATGCAACACGAACCATTTTTTTCTTTTTAAATAAATTTTTGTCATATCATAGTCATGTTTTTGGATACTTTTCGATCTCGTAATGCACTGTACAAGGTGCACTCTATAGTTTGCATTGTCATTCATTGTTGTTTTTCATTTTTTAAGGATGATGGTGCAGTTTATGATTCTCGACCATGTAGTTACTACCTTTGTTTTTCTTCTTCTTTCCTTTCATTCTCAACGAACGATAGTCGTGTGAGAGTACATTGCTTGCAACACAAGAGCAGTCTATTCACTTGTTTGTAATGGCTGATTCTGTACATCGTTTGAATACATCGTTGAGCGATGAAAATTTCAAACAATCATGTGCAAGCATTCGTGATAAACTTGTTCATCTTGATCAATCATCTATCGATTCAATTCTCGAACATGACGATCCTCAAAAAGCCGAAATCGTCTTACCGGATGGTCGTCAATTTATTTGGTATTTTGCCATTGGAAGTATGAATAATCCGATTTCACTCTATCTACGAGATCTATATCCAATTGTATCTTATCCAGTCGTATGTCCTAATTATCGAGTTATTTTTCGAAGTCCAAGTGGCATGGCTGATATTGAATCTGATCCTGGAGCTGAATTTCATGGTGTTGTTCATCTTCTTTCTAATGATGAAATGGCACGTTTGGACAAAATGGAAGGTATGTATCGACGAATACCAGTCAATGTTATCGACTATCAAGGTCAATCTCATCTTGTCTATGCTTATACAATGATTATACCAAATAAAACCGTCGGTCTTCCGTCTGAACGATATTTGGATATTATTGTTAAAGGATGTGAATATTACAATGTTCAACCTGAATATATTAATCGATTGAAACAAGAACAAGCACTTGTACCTCGAAAGCAACCTCAGGAATTTCAATCGTTCACTGACATTCCTATCGATGCTTTTTTTTCTACAGATGAACTAGCACGACACGATGGAACTGATCCAACACTTCCAATGTGGATTTGTATCAATGGGAAAATCTTAGAATACAGTGGCCTACCACCTGCTGATCATCCTGAATATGAGGAACGACGACGATTCTATTCCTTTTTCCAGCCTCGCTGGGGTGGACGACAAGCAGACTACGGTTTTGCCAAAGGTCTCTATGAACCACTGTATAAAATACCATTGAATGAGGAAGATTTAAGTGATGAACATCGTGCCATGATCGAAGATCTTTTCATTACGATGATAATAAAGAATTCACAAAACATAAACTATTGGAAACTTATCGGACGACTTCTTCGATCGGACACCAAATTATCAACATCCCATGTTCATCTCAATTGAACAAAAACAAACGAACTTTTTTTTCTTGCAACTATGCATCATTCGAGTGAGATTTCTCTTTTCTCAACACTTGAATTCCAAATAACCGATAAACATTTGTAATCCTTGAACATGTCTAATAAATACATTTGAAAAATGGCTGAATAATATTGTGTTTCTCACATGTATTCAAAGTCCTTTTTTTTTCTAGTATTGTACAAAGATGAAAACATAGTACAATCCGACACAGGAATTACATTATCAATGAATGAAAATCTTAAAAAAAAAACAGAGAACGATGCATGTCTCTCACTGTCTATTATTTTTTATCCGGAGAGCAAACTTCAAGCTAGATCTCTGTCTATGATGCAAGATATAGTATGAGAGAAGAAATCTACAATGCATTTGACATGTTTGCTCAACATCCACCGTGAATATTTGATTTACGAATATTTTTCTCTGTTGAATATGATCGTGCGGAAGAGTCAAGAAGAGAATGAAAAGTGAAGATAAAGTCTTGCTGTTTCCTTTCAATATCAAATAAAACCAAATGAAGAGACGAGCTGTTTCTCGGCTCTTTATGTATTCCACATGTTTGGCGACTATGAAAATGCGCAGCACTTCTTCTTTAGCAAAATGTTGTGTGCTTGTAAGAGATTGTTTGAAGGGCGTAGGTGTGTGACAGATCCTGGTGCGATTGATAGCAGATATGGACTTACATCACACCTCTGCATACAATGTTAGGAAATATTTTCTTTACTTTTTCTTCTCTTCTCTTTATTCTTTTTTATTATCTATGGAAGGCGCATTTTCAGTTTTTTTTTTCGAAGGCGTTTTTGTTACTTCATTTTTTCGTTCGGAATACACACATGAATCAGAGTGGAATACATGTGTTTATATAAATATCGACAATAAGAAAAAAAACAAGATGAGAGATAAAACTTTAAAATGTGCCTTTATTCCAACCCATCATATTGTTAGCTAGATTTGTAAATTTTAAATACATTCGATCAGCTTTAATATTAAGTTTTTTTTCAAAAAGATTCATAATTTCTTTAGTAATTTTGCCTGTTTGATTCGTTGGTAATCCAATTGATGTAAGTTCCATAATTGCAGCTGGATCATTTGTACCAGAAAAGAGTAATTTTTGACCTGATGAAACATGAACAGTAACATATTCTTCAGATTTACCAAGTACTTGTGCTACTTTTGCACTAAGTTGTTTAAGAAAATCATTTGTTATTTCATTGTCAGCTATATTTGTTTGTACAGTTAAAGCTGGCATCCTTTTATAAAGATAAATGTATTGAAATTCAATGAAATAAAAGTATGTTGTGTTTGATTGGCTGATTTATTTATTTGAATTGATGAGCATATTACTCGAACGGATTAAACAAAAGATGTGTTAAAATTTATGTTTATAGCCATGCGCAAAAAACAAAACATGAAAACGCGCCTTTCATAGATAATAAAAAAGAACAAAGAGAAGAACAATCAAAGACGATATATCCAAAAAACAATATGATCTCGTGTTATCAACATCGATTATAACAAATACAGGCGAGCATATGGGTTTTTGCATTGGATTTATGTAGCGAATCGTCGATCAAGTTATTTTTTAGAGAGATATTTATTCGTATTTCTCTCAAAAGTGAATTCGTTTGACTTGCAAGAAAAAAAAAGGACTCATACTTGTATTCGTGCTCTCTGCATAATGAGAAATGATTTTCTGAGAAAACGATGATATAAAGTAAACAATAATGTTACTATTCGGAATTTAAGATGGGTCAAAGATTCAATGTTTCGTTGGATACGCCTGATTTAAACTTAACATAAGCAATTTTTGGATGCTGTTCAAGGACCTCGAATAATATAATAACTGATTGAATAATATTACAAGCTGCCATTTCTGCAGATTAGTTCTACTAATTGTTTCTAGACTTTCTTAATCGACTTCTGATTAGACTGTAAAATCAAATATTGACTGTCTTGCCTTCTCATCCAAACATTTTTCTCACTTGAAAGATGAGCATGAATTTAATCTTTTGGGTGTGGGTGTGCGTGTGGCCATTGATATTCTCTTTCACACCCACACCCACCCACCCACACCCACACCCACACCCACACCCACACCCACACCCACCCGCTTCGTACAAACGAAAATGTTGTATTCCAGCAAACAAACCTGTCGAGGTTTTCGTAGAACAGATAGCTGTATACTTTCGAAATGAAGTTCTGATTTACTTTGCTCGAAAAAAGAACAGATAGAAGTTTTCAACAGGAAAAATATTCAGGTTGGTTGATTCCACCAACCTTTTTCTGGACTCTGGTTAACAAATCGAACTTATTCAAATTGAACAGATCTTTGATATAAAATTTACGGAATATGATATGATGGACGTTTGCAATAGAATTTCAAAAAAAAAAGTAACGATATGAATCATTATTTTTTGCGCATTTCTTTTTTCATTTTGCACATGTAAGAAAACAGAAGATGAACAAGAACCAAATCGTTCAACTCCGAAATATTCGCTCCAAAAAAAGACATGTAATAATTTTACTATTACACGAATAATAATCCAAAATGGAAAAAGATATTCATTTCTTAGAGTCAGCAACGAATTGTGCTATTTGTGAAAGGAAAAGTAACAAGATTTACAACAATATTAATTTATGCGAACTTTGTTATGAAACAACTATAGAACATTTGAGTTCATTCAATACTGATCTTCAATATGAACCTTCTGACTAAATAATTGACAACATATATTTAGAATCGTAAAAATATGGTGTTGATGAAATTAAATTAAGATCTTTGAGCAAGATCAAAACATGTCGTGGTCGCTCATCAGACAAAAACTCTTTAAAAATTGAATTTTATTAAATTTTTCATTCTAAACACATTCTCAAGATGAATGTCTTTCTGATTTTCTTTTTTCTGAAACTTACTATATAACAGCGAATGTCAGGTTCTATCTGAGATTTCTGCTCTCTCATCTCTACAGACATCACTTGTGTGATATTTATGCTGCATGAATATAAATTGCCTAGTCTTATTTATTTGCTCATGTAAAAAGCTAACTAAACGAAACTGTTAAGAAAATATATTTTTTTCCGTTTAACACGTTGGCTATTTTGTTCTGATAGTCTTACTTCCTCTTGCTAACTTTTGTGCTGCTTCTCCTTCGTGGATATCGCATGTTTAGGAGATCCTTTTTCCGACCCAAAATTTTCAATTTTTTTTTGTTTTTTGTAGTTAGAATAGATTTAAATGCCCTCTATCCAGTAAACACATTTTGAGAACTGAAATCCTACGTTTTATAAATAAAAAATTCGAGAAAACCCACAAAATACACTGACAAAACCTCCCCAAAAAATCTCAACTTTCTTTGCATTTTGGGTGTGGGTGTGGGGGTGGATGTGAGTGATTGAAGAAGAATAACTCTTACCCACACCCTTCAACAACCTCAGCCACAGCCAGACCCCACATCCACACCCAAAATGTTTTCCCCGGCGATCTGCTGATATCGTAGGGTGGTTCACTCGCGGACTCTCTCTTAAAGACAATAATACTTTGGTAGAGCTATGTGCTAAATGGAACAAATTAAAAACAGATCGAACTTTACGAACGATCAAACTCCAATTTAACAGTATGCCGCAAGATGTACAAGTGGTGCGAATTAATCAACAGGCGTCAGCATTAAAAACAACTGATTTTGATATTTGCTCGATTATTTTGAAATTGCAAGTGAATAATCCAACAACATACTAAATAATAACAAGCAGTTGGATATTTTTAACAAAAAAAAAAAAATAATAATCTTGAAAAACAAAAGGATGCGCCAGATTTAAGAATACAGCGCATATTTTGAAATATATTCCTCTTCTTGAAGAGCAAAACTTCGATGATATTTGAAATGATGTTTCTTTCTTATATTTCCTACATGTTCGAATGTTGTCATTAGTGTTTGATTCATTACTTGCACATTCTTATATCTATACTCTAAATTTAATATTTTAATACACTCATCAAAATATATTAGTTATGACTCCGTTCATTCCGGTTTGCTTTTAATTTTTTTCAGTACGAGATTTTGAAAAGGCATATATCAATGTTCGACATGGGTCAAGTTTTTTATGATCTGACTTGACTCAAGATTTCCAGTTTTTGATTCGACCCGAGCTTGAAATTTTTTTTTGTGACCTGACTCAAGGTTCATAGACATTTGTCAATTAATGAAAGAAATACTCGATTTTTAACAAACCAAATGCTCATCAATTTAAGAGTGTTTCTCTTGAAAAATTGAATTTCTCAATTCTTGTTCTTGGTTCTTCTCGATTTGAGACAGTTTGTCGTCAATAAGAGTGATGAAAACGATTTAACTTATACTAATTAGAAAAAAAGCCTTCATGTAACATCGAGACAACGATATATATATTTTTATTAATAGAACCGAACAAACGAAACATGAAATAATTTTAAAACTTCTTTTATGCTTTATGAAAATTTCGATTATTCCATACTTTCATCATAATGTTCAACACCATCAATCTTCTTTTCCCAATCCGTCATTTCTTTACAAAATAATTCTTTCATTGGTCGCGGTAGTTGATCGATTTCACCGATGAATAAACTTATTTAATAATAATTTTCTTTGGTTGAGTTTCCGGATTTTTTGAATAGACAGGACTACCACATTGACTACAAAAATAACGTTCGGTTAGACTTTTTGATTTTGTATTTGTATCATTATATTTTTTTAATAATGATTTATTATCTAATAGATTAACTTTATCTTCAGGTAATATTAAATCTAATGATGCCAATCCACCTCCAGCACGATGACAATTTGTACAATGACATAATACGATTTGATATGATTTATCGGTTAAACATTCATGAGTCATTTTTATTTTGATTTCACCACAAAGACAACGACCAACAATTTCATTAGACGATGATGAAGACATACTCGAAGAAGAAATAGGTTATTAAGTATGAATTTTGTACGATGCAAATGAAAGATTAAAAAGAAAATACACGTCTGTATATATATATGACGTAGTTTTGTAATCAGAAGATTTTTCTCTTGCGTTCTTCACTGCAGATTGTACGCAATTGCCCTCGGCATATAGTGAAGAACGTAATAGAAAGAAAATTCTTGTTGCGCTATTTATATAATAAAAGACTAGAAAATCTAATAAACTTACGTCGACGAAGCATATATCGATAACAATAAACAAATAAACATGATCGAGATGAATTCTTTCATGTAATAGAGATCGAAGCACAACAGCAATAGCTGGTGAAATATAGTTCTGTATACGTACTGTTCATATTGAGATGCGCATATTTCCAGAATTAGTAGCTCGTACGTAGATCAGCTTATACGTCTAAGAAAACACTGTTAAAATCGAGGTGGACATGACTGTAGATGTTCGATGTATATAGTAGTAACACTTCCACTCACGCGCACGGCTTCAATCAGTCATGTTCGTTTAGTTCAATGAACAAAATGAATGTTGAACGTATGAGCCAGCTAGTATCGTACATGGACGAAGATATCACAAGAAGAAAAAAATCGAACATTCGTTGAACAGACATCGATCCATGGTCGAAATGAAGAAAAAAATGTGACAACATTTTTTTTTAATTTTCAGCTCTTGTCAAAACACATTCTGATGGTTAGATAGCAGCATGATGCAACGAGTAAGAAAAGAAAGTCAATTACAGTTTGATGAAGAATAAACAATGACTTGTGTTGTTCTTTTCGATGACATTCGATAAGAAAGAATTTATAATCTATATACGGTAATGTTGCCAATGAACTTCTTACTCACTTCCTGTCTGTTTGTTTTTTCTTCACAACAGTATTTTAGATAGAAACCAACTTAAATTTGTTCTTAAATGTCAACACAAAACACAAACATCATCTTTCTTTCGGCCAAAAGAAACAAACGATTATGACTATATGAATATAAGAAATGAACTTTTTGTACATCAGAACAATCATTAATAATTTATTCTACATCAACAATATAACTCCACAAAAAAAAATGGAGAACATAGCTGAATCATCAAGAGAAGCTGCTGAAAGCAAGTAACGTTAGTAGGTAGCATCGATTCAAGACGACGACGCATAGTTGACAACTTCAGTCTTATATGGGTCGATGCGAATATTGACGAACGAGAAGAAGATTGTCGAAATAAGGTAGAACAATAACTACAAAGCATTGTGAATGATGTGTGTATTATTATCTGTCCGGACGAATGTATCAATCTTCTTGATAATATCGATGTTGAAAAGGTTTTTATTCTTGTCGGTGGATATCTAGGTCAACATCTTATTCCTGATATCCATGATATGCTGAAACTAGATTCAATTTATATTTTTTTGTGGCAGTAAATTTCAACATGAACAATGGATTAAAAATTGGGCGAAAATCAAAGATGCATACACATCAATGAAATCTATATGTGACGAATTACAAGTGTCGGTCAAACAATGCATTCCAGATTTCATTGCCGTGAGTTTTGTCACCATGCATGAAATGATCGTCAGTGAAAATCTCAATCAATTAGAACCTAGTTTCATGTATACACAAATATTCAAGGAAATTCTTCTTGATATGGAACATAACGAAGAACTATCAAGAACTTGGCTGTTTATTGTCGAAAACTTTACTCTGACAGAAAGCACGAATTAACTATTATTAATGAATTCGAACGTGATTATCGTCCAGAACGAGCACTCTGATGGTATTCTCGTAAATGTTATACCTATCAGATACTTAATCAAGCGCTTCGAACACTCGACGCCGACACGATCATCCATATGAGTTTCTTTCTTCATGATGTTCATCGTCAAATACAAGAATTATACCAAAAACAGCTCAGTAGTTATCATGGACAAGGTCTAACCAAAGAGAACTTCGAAAAACTCCTGAAAACAAAATGAGGACTGATGTCTTTCAACAATTTTTTATCTACCAGTACAAATCGAGATGCTTCCTGTAGGTTTGCCAAATGTTCTTCAATGAAACCAGGCATGATCGGCATACTCTTCAAAATGTTCATTGATCCTACTGTCTCATCAACACCATTTGCTTCTATTCGAGAAGTTAGTTATTTCGATACAGAAGATAAAATTCTCTTCTCCATGCACACTATCTTTCGTGCCGACGAAATAAAACAAATCGATAAAATAAGTTCACTTTATCCAGTCGGTCTTTAATTGACTGCTGATGATGATAAACAACTTAGAATTCTTACGAAACGTATAGCAGATAAGACTGGTCGTGACAATGATTGGGAACGATTGAGTAGATTACTGCTTACTAAAGCCGCAGAATTACATCTAGCACTACTTGAACAAACATCATATGAATATGATAAAGTACTTTATTATAATCAACTTGGATTTGTTAAGTATAGCCAACGTGATTATGAAAAGACTATTGAATATTACGAGAAAGCACTTGAAAACGGTCGAAAAACTCTTCATGCAAATCATCCTGATCTGGCAAGTATTTACAGCAACATTGATTCGACGTATAACGACATGAAAGAATATTCGAAAGTGCTTTCATTTCATGAAAAAACACTTGACATCTATCAAATATTTCTACCTGATGATCATCCTTTGTTAAGTACTTGCTATAACAATCTTGGTTTAGTGTATCAAAACATGGGAGCATATTCCAAAGCATTTTCATTTTACGAAAAAAAAATCTTAAAATTGGTCAAGAAACTCTTCCTGAAAATATCATCCTTTGTTGGCTATTTGCTACAGCAACATTGGTGATCTGTATAACAAGATGGGAGAATACTCGAAAGCATTGTCATATCTAGGACATACTCTGGATATTTTTCAACGTACATTATCCTCCGATTATCCTAATCATAAAATGTTGAGAGAAACTATTGAACGTATAAAAAAGAAATTATAAATTACATTTGATCAATAAAATAACTAGTTCCCTTTCTAGTTTCATTTACTCGCGTGTGTGCACAGAAATACTCTATAAGTAATGAAAATGTAATGAACAACATACTATCGCCTTGTCAAAGCGTAACGCCGTTACGTTTTTGACATACTATTTTCCAATTATCTCGAGAACTTTAGGAGCTAGAAAGTTCATTCAAGTGCTATTCGACGCAGCTCATCATGCTCTATTTATTCTATAAAAATGAATAATTTCCATCGAACTCTTGAGTCTCTGGAAAGATCTTTTGATCGCGTAACGGAGTCACATAAAAAGACCATAAATTTGAAGTGTTCGTCCTCAAGCTCAAATATCCTGCGAAAGCCGCTGTCCAAATAAAATGCTGCAAGAACAAATTTTGTAGAGCTTTCAACGAGCTGGGTGTGGATTAGATAATAACTGAATCTCTAACCCACATCCACACCACACTCGAGAAGGTACAGACACCACACCCACGCGAACATGCATACGCACACTCACCCACACCCCCTTGTTTAAATTATTTAAATTATGAAATTAAATTAACTAATTCAGCTATGGCATCCGAACAATTTCAATCATATTATTATAAAATTAATCATATACAATTATCTATTCGATTGATGGCATCTGAATGCATTTCAAATGTAAATCAAATAATAAATATATACATAGTTTACTTTAAAAAATTTATTAAAGAATCAAATTACATCTCAATTAGGTATATATAATCATTTGGTATAATACTGTAGACAGCAAAAACTAACTATATAACATTACCTTATACTTTTTTAAATGATGAACAATTTTTGTCAAACATTAAAATATTTATGAAGTGAATATTGATTAATTTGAATTTTCTTCTAAATTCAATTATTAATCAAGTGTTTATCGCGTGTGCATATTTACTAGTAAAATAAGTTATCAAAGAATAAAAATAAAACTATGAAATTTATTCATCATTCTGATTTTTGTTTTTTGAGTATTTAACATTCCATATATTCAACAAAAGCAATTTTTTTAAAATTTCGTAAATGGTTATACCTGTTTAAAATTCAATAACTACAAAACTTCGGTTTAATAGGTTTTACTATAGATGAAAAGCTATAATAACGCTATGATGAACTATTTTCTCAAATTGTCAATGATTGAGTCTGATATTTTCAAATCAAAATGACTTTTTATGATTAAAAGAAATGCATTTAAATTTATTAAAGTTTTCTATATTTGATAAATATTTTGTGAAACACGACCTGAAGGGAGTGTTGAAGTGTTTAGGGGTAGAAATTTGGACTCACCCCCCTCCCCCCCACAGACCGTGACAGACAGGGGTTTGGACCCATCACAGACCGTGACAGACGGGGGTCTAGATCCATCACACACCGTGACAGACAGGGGTCTAGACCCGTCACAGACCGTGACAGACAGGTTTTGGACCCGTCACAGACCGTGACAGACGGGGGTCTAGACCCATCACACACCGTGATAGACGGGGGTCTAGACTCGTCACAGACCGTGACAGACAGGTTTTGGACCCATCAAAGACCGCTTGAACCCATCATAGACTGCGACAGACAGCCTTAGGGCCCATCAAAGACCGTGGCAGACAGGTGTATGGACTCATCACAGACCGTGACAGACAGGGCTCTAGACCCATCACAGACCGTGACAGACAGGACTTAGAGTCATTATAGACTGTGATTAGAAGACTTCAAGGAAACATCTGATATGATGCATAACTCACATATGATTGAAGCATACATGGAGTATTATCCTGTTGAAAGTCTATAATGTGAGGTAAACCATTATAAAGAAATGTACATCAGTATGCATAAAAAACAACAGCTTTTAGAACATTGGCTATAGCAACTACATCGTGTTTCACATTTTTAATCCCGCAAGGGATTGCGCTAACAGCTTTTTACACTGTTTTTAACACCAGATATTATTGAATACATTGTCGAGCAATCAAACTTATATCGAGTACAACATATGTTAAAGCAAAAACCTATGGATGAATTAGAATTGTATAAATTACTTGGATTTCTTTTTTATGCTTCGCTTATCAAACTTCCAAGCAAAGGTGATTATTGATGCCAGCTGTCTAAACAAGATATTGTTGTAGATAATATTTCACGTAATCGTATTGATGAATTATTGCGAACATTACATTTCAACAACAACACTTTGAATGCTGAAAAAAGTGATAAAATTCAACCATTACTTGATATATTTAATGAACGTTCTAAAGCATTAGTTCATCAAGAAGAATATATAGCTATCGACGAACAAATGGTAGGGTATAAAGGAAAAACTGCTCCAACATCTTTAAAGCAGTATATGCCTAA